ACAAAACAGAATCCTTAAGTGACAGGTCTGCAGAAAACCCCTCCCCACACGCGGATCATGTCTCTGCATTGAATATATGCTCCACTTCGTAGGTTATTATATTTCAAATCAATGCCAAACTTTTGAGTGATGTTCTTCAACCAGTAAAGTATCCCCCAGAAAGCTTTCGTCGATGTGGGCCAGTGCAAGGTATTTTTTATCTTCAAATCTCAGACACCTATTTAGAACACTTTCTTTCTTACCTGCCTGGGTCTCTCTTCCCCGATCCAAATATATGAGATACCGGTATTCCCACCCTTTGGGTTATATCATTCATGGTTCAGCATGCAAGGGAAATAAATCGGGAGCCACTGGATCGATTGAATCAAAATATCCTTTGCATCTGGACTTACTCACTGGTGAACAAAATCCCTTAACCAGAACCTTTGGAACCGTCTGTTTCGATGTGTGTTATGCCCCCGAAACACGCATACAAGACTGTACTTCAATTACCACTCTGCGTCCTTCACGTCTCACCTGATTCATACACTTCACTTTCCGTGTACCAACCGATTTAGCCTCTAGCACTTACAGTGCTACCGGCGTCCGAATAGCTCTAAGTACACCAGGGTGATTGCTCAGTTCCTATTTGGTTCCCAGTCAGTCGACGACTGTGCACTGTAAGGCTTGACAATTCGATACAAGTCGACTGTAAAACGCGTCGCTGTTTATTCATCGTGTCCGTGTTTGCACCGAGCAATCACATTTCACCTAAAATGAAGGATGATTTCTGTAGTAACTTCTACATGCTGCTATAAAGTGTTATTAACCGACACTGTAGTTGTCGCCAGCGGCTTTAAAGCTCCAGTCTCATCCTTGTACGAATCACTAAGGTTTCTGGTCGACTCAAAGGCGATCCCAAACAACTGAACAGACAATGGAGGTAGTCTACTTCAACACTGCGTACGTTACGGTTTGTTCTTATCAACTGCTAGCCGGTCACACAAGTGATATCGCCTAAAATGGAAATTTCCTCACTCTTCTAAATGATGAACATACGTCGATCAGATCGTTTTTGGCGACTATTGGCGCTTTTGTATTCAAGACTGCCGTTCCTATTGCTCCACGTCTGTGTACATGGACCACACTTTACTGTAAAGTCGGGTTCTACCTGTGTCTGATAAACAGCCACACCGAATCCACTGTAGACGGTTGAAAGCAGTACAATGTAAATGAGGGCTGCAAATTGGCCTTCGAATTGGAGCTCACACATCGCCCCTCAACTCAACCGCCCTCCGACGGGACTCAATGACCTCTGGAAGCTGATCACGGGAGCAGTTTAAAACATCAGCGCTCTCGAAGAGACAACCAAGACACAAGCGATAGAGTTACCCCAACGTATGCTGCTCTATTGGACGCCCATAAAACTATTTCTTCGGGTATCAAATATGCATCATACCAATGAATGGGGTTTATTTTTATGAACCCTAACCTTTGCGTTTGACGTAATGATCCAAAACAAAGCACCGCAGTAGCAAAGATTCTTTGTGGATGCTTCCTCAGGTCCATCCCTTCCAATCCTTCACTGTCCATTTTTATTTTTCGTTTGTGCTTTGATCATTGCTCCAATTTTCAGACCAGATGCTCGGGTTCGTGCAATCAGAGATTAAATGATGTGAACGGGACTCAGACATTTTGCAGTTTAGATGGACTCTAACTGTCTATTGAAGCATTGAAGCTTTCCCATCTTAAAGAGAAAACGTCTAGGTATTTCCTACCTAACTCCATTTTACTGTTCATTTATCAGTTTTCCGCTACTTGGTTTGCTGTATTGTGTTTTCCACAGACCATTTAGAGAAAATGATACAAGGACTGACTACCTTCCAGAGATTTTTAGCATTTATCTAGGTGAAAAGCTATCCTATCTAACCACCGAGTCGTGGGGTCACATAATTCATTGCGCCATGTCAACTTATACCTCCATCATTTTAAGAGCAGCAACGGACGGTTACCACGACAACATAATCTGACCCGGGATGCATCCATCGTTTTTCTGGCCAGTACAGATACAATCCACGCTTGTTCATGCCTGCTAGGTGGTCCCGGGCACGGCCATTCGCATCTTTCTCTTCACTTAATTCTTCNATCCGGAGAAAGTTGATAAAACACTGCTGGTTCGTAGTTAGTCTGTTCATTGACTGCTTCCGATTACTGATTGGCTACTGTGCTGATCCCCTCAATTGTGTCTCTCGCCCCAGCCAGGAACACTAATGCGCACGGCTTCTGATCGGATTCAGGCGTTCAATTATTCCATGTCTTGTCATTCCCTTGCATCTTCAAGGAAAAAAGGAGTTTTAGAGACAAAAAATCAAAATCGCTTGCTGTAGGACAAAGAAACAACATTACCCCATCGTATATATATATATATATATATATATATATGTATGTGTATATATATATCGCAAAGCCTAACCTTCCTCCCTGAGAATTTTCGCTATCTGAGTTTGAAATAAATTGGGATCATCTGCCACCGTGAGAACATGTCGGCGTTTTCCCGAGGGTACTGGATGTGTTGTCGTCAGGATAACGGGCAGAGAACGGCAACTAGGTTTGTGCATTCTCTGCATTAGTGCCCTTGTAACCCCGTTTCCGGACATAT